GTGAAACAAGTTATTCAGTAGGAGAGAAAAAGAGAGAGAAACTGGCAATTATGTCTCAAGTCATGTTGTATTATGAATTAATATGGCCCTGCTAAGCTGCATTCAGATAAATGCTATTACTATTGCTACCGATAATCACATAGCAATAGCACTTAGACTTACAGTATATATTGCTTCCTAGTGCTTTACACCCCTCTCTAAGTAGTTTACAGAGGCAGAACATTGCCCCCAATAATCTGGGTCCTCATTTTACCAACCTCGGAAGGATGAAAGGCTAAATCAGCCTTGAGCTGATCGGGATCGAACTGGCTGTGGCAAGGATTAGCCTGCAGTAGTGCATTCTAACCACTACGGAACTATGGCTCATGTGTTAAATATCTTTTGTAGTTTAGATATGAATCAAACAAACATGTCTGGATATTTAAATCACTTTTTAGATTCTTTATTAGATGATTATATTATTCCAGTTTAATTCTTCTGCATGGCAAGTATTACAGGCTTCTATATTGACTGTTACTCTTTATTGGTATTTAATTTTGTAATTCTGCTTCCAGGTATTGTAACTCTTTATATGTCCTCAGATTTTGTAGTGAAACAAGTGATTCAGTAGAAGATAATGTGGTTACTGTTATAGCATTTATAGAAATTCTACACCAGAGTTGTTCCCAACTTGATCTTTTTTTTTAGTATCTTAATCCTTAATTGATGGAATAATAAATATAACATTGGTTCTATATCAATATCTGACCATAATCCAGTAATGGTCAGTTATTATAAGAAAAACTCATTTTCCCCAAAATGATACTTAAATGCATCATTATGAAATTATCCACTTTTATAAAACAGATGCAATAAGATTTGAAAGACTATTTTAATAAATAGCGTTTATTAGCGTTGCTAATTACAATATTGCATATAATTCATAAAGAAGGAAAAAATAAATATCAGAAAATTTAGGAAATAAAAATTAAGAAAATAAATGATAAGAAACTTAAATATGCAAGACAGCCTACACAGGAATTAGGTTTTGTATCTGGGGAACTAAAGAAATCCATGTATTTGTTAAATAATGAAAACAAGAGTATCAGCCTGAACACGATTGAAGTACTTCACCAGCTGGTGCTAAATAGTCACCCCATAGAATTAAAAATCATTGTTGATTTCCCCCCCCAGCTGACAAATCCAAGCAGCTTCAAATGCTTGGGAAGTATCATCTTGAGCAATGGATCTTTGATAAGGAAATTGATTCTTGGTTCAGCAAATCCAGCCAGGCTCTGGGGCAGCTGCATACTAAAGTACTCAATCAACACAGCCTTAGTATCTCCACAAAGTTGAAAGCCTACAGAACTGCGGTTGTCTCCTATATGGATGTGAATTCTAGACTCTGTACAAACAACATATCAAACAACTAGAGAAATTTCATATGCATAATCTCTGTTCCATCCTTCGCCTATGTTGGTAAGACTATCTCCAATCTGGAGGTTTTAATCATGTGAAGTCCACCACCATTGAGTCCCTGATTATCAGAGCCCAGATGTGGAGTGCAGGATAAATCATTAGAATGCATGACCATCATAATAGCTTTCCAGTTGCTCTTGATCTACTGGAGACTGTGAAGAGACTTTGAAGTTGTCCACATAAGCACTATAAAGATGCTGTGAAGGAAAACTATGCCATTGTGACATCTAGCCAAGGGAACTAGAAACTGTATCTGTCGGTGAGATCTCTCCTTTGAAGCCTCTACTGGCTTTGAAGACAGTCACCATCAAAAACTGATAGAAAACTGAATGGCATCACAGAACAACACCGGTAGTTATTAAAATGGAATAATGGAGTCCCATGCCCTCATTGTGCTAGACCGCACTTCCAGACTGTCTCTGCAGAGCTACCTCTATTTCCATAGATGAACTGCACAACATGTCTTCTTTGACTCTGAAGAACTACCTATATATAAATTGAGTATAGGGAAGAAAAAATCCTATTGAATGTTTGTCCTCTAGATTGGAATAGCCATATCCAAGTAATATCATTTCTGCTATTAAGGATGTTTAGGACAAAATATATAGTAATTCTGATTTAACAGAACAACACTTCCTTTTTATTTCATATCCAACTTTTTAATATTGAGTTAAAGATTTCTGAGGAATTAATCACTGAAAGCATTTATAGTAAAAAGCCAGTAACCTATCAGGTCCAGGCACCTTTTCTGTTTTAATCTTTTTTTTATAGCTTCACAAACCTCCTTTATTGTTATGGACCCATTCACAATTTGTTTCTATTTCTCTGTAATCTTCAGTAAATTTTGTTTCTTACATATTCATCTGTTTTCTCTAAGGAAATGTCCCTTATATAAATTGGAATAATATTGATGAAACAATAATATTGATGAAACAACTTTTTTTATATAGCCACATTATATGTTATTACAGTACCTCCTTCTTATAACTTCAATGTCATTTTCTTTTTCTTTTTGTAATCTGTATGCCAGCCCTTCCCTGGTTTATTGGTAAACTCTTTTTTGCGTAATTTATTTTTATTTACATTTCTCTTAGCGTTAACATAGGATATTGTCACTGTAGAAGCTTAATTTGCTGAGAAATATTTATCTTCTCTGGAAACGTGTTTAATTCCTCTTCTTTTCTTTTTGTCTCATCCAAAATAGCTGGTGTTTTCTCTTCTTTTTGAGTTTACTGTTATGTTGTATGAAGTAACCTCTTGAAAGCTTTGCTTCCACCCACACCATTCTTATATCTGTATCTTTATTAAGATTATTTTCAAAAAACTCTTAATTTATTTTTATAGTTTTCCACTACTGCTTCTTTCTGTAATGGCATTTCATTTTACCACTTTTTGAAAGAACTGGGTTTCCATTTAAAAATCAAACTCACTTTGGTAATATCTCTACTTTATGTACCTTAGTTGAATTCATAGAGATATGTTCTTGAAAAAGATCAATGTCTTTCAGAAAAATTGGAATACTCTCTTGAATTGCCGCTGCATCAACAAGCTCTAAATTGTTCATAAAACTAAAAAAAACTTTAGGTAGTTCACCTTATATAATTTTTAATATTTTCTCACCTTATAAAGTTTAATATATAAATTTAATATTTTAAGTTCTGACTAGTTGTGAAGAGATCACTTCATTCCATTTGCTTGAGTCTCTTGCCTCTGGTGTCTTGCTTAAGGATTGTTTCATCTTTCTTTGCCTGTTCCCTAAGGACTTCTCATTGCTTTCTACAACAACTTATTTGCTTTCACTATGTTTCATTTGTAGTGTTTTTACATTATTTGTTAATAAAACATTGGGTAAATGAGTTCTTATAATTTTAAACTAAGCACACAAAAATATAATAATAATACAGGTGCATAGAGATTTTCCTAGGTACACAAAAGATTGAAAATAATCAGCAACCCAGTTAAACAAGCATCTGAGCTAACATAAAATAAAAGGATATTAAAATATCACTTGAGGAAAAAAATGCATTGGATCATCAGTCAGCAGCTTACATCCTTTGTTGCAACTCATCTAAACACATTTTCCTGTAATGTGGTATCATCCAAATGTGCTGACTGACATTTGGGACTGGCACATTCAACTTATTAGAAGCATATGCTGTTGGGAAAAGATTGCTTAAAGATAGCAGTAACTGTACAGTATATAACGGTCCAGTGCAAATCCAGACTGTTCAACATATGGAACCAATGAAATTTAGTAGCAACACAGCAGCTCATATCTGAGCTCTTTATTATTTTTATTTACTCAGAACACTGCAGTGGGTTCAACAGCAACTGGCATTTGGATTAATAATTGGATCTCAAACATCAAATAAAAGTCAGAAGTGGAGATGTTTCTGATATATGCTGGTCACGACAAATCTACAGTAACAGCAGTTATTACTTTGCACATCTGTGGGTTTCACAGAAATATAATTTGTTCTCTTTCAGTTTGCATATTTCATTTTAAAAATATTATGGTTTATAAATACAGCTTTAATTCATTACCAAGTCAAGAAGATAACCACAGTAAATAAGTGTTTCTTTGAATTAAACATGCACCTGGGTTTATAAATGAATTTGGATGAGATATCTGATACATTTTTAGTACCACAGCTGGATTGCATTTATTGTCATTTATCTGTTCCAGTAGACAGTTAATGCAGTACTTGTGCTCAACAAGCCCACTGATGCTAATTCTGTAATCACATTGGACATATTGTTTAAATATCACTTTTTAAATGTTAAACTTCTAAATTTCATTTTAACTCATAAAAGCTTCTCTTTTCTTGACCCACTCAGTGGTATACTGTTTACTAACTTCCGTATCTGTTATCTAAGACAGTGCCCTCCCAACCTTTTGGGCACCAAGGACCAGTTCTGTGGAGAAAGGTTTTTCCGCGGAGAACAGGGGGCGTGGTTTTGCGTGCTGCCTGCCTCCTGCAGATGGGGCTTTGCTTGTTTGCACAGACCGGTTTCTGGCATGCCGTGGACCGATGCCGGTCCATGGGCCAGGGTTGGGGACCTCTGAACTAAGAAATGATATAATACAAATGTTATATTGCCATCATGAATCCTTGATTTATTTCATGAAAAAAATACATATTGATGATTCTTGAAATTCTAGCAATACCCGCTCTAATAAGAGTTCTTATCAGATTTAATACTCCATTGCATTAAGAACTAGAGGAATACAAAAGGTTTTGATTGGCCTATAGTTGCTATTGGGGTAAAACGTAGCAATACTGTATGTTCAATTCAGGAATAGTGTCAAAACTACTATTTATGAAATTTATGGGAACAAAATTGAAATGATTTCTTGTAATGGTACTAACTATCCAGTCTACTGATTAGTAATTTTTATCGAATAATTGTGCTACGTATAATCTCATTTAACAAAGGAAGGTTTGCATTGAATAAAATTTCACAACATTGCAAGCCTTCCTGATTGTTTTTCTGTTGACTCATTCTCTATGCATTTCTTCTTTCCTTTTTTTCCCTCCCAGGTGTGCCAATGCTGTTTGTAATCCTCTGGGGAATTGTCAAGTACCTTTATGAAGATGAGGGGTTGGTTCTGTTCTGATTCTTAACTAATTCATGTGAAGGTTATGTTTTGTGGAGGGGGTGAAGTTGCACATTTTTCTTGGTTATAATTGCTTTGGCAATGGCTGTTGTATTAACATCTTGTGCATTTGCTCCACTTGTCACTTGATTAGTGTAAAAGCTTCTCATTACATTTTATTCAAACAAATAAGCACAAGCTTTTGCTGTTCAGCATCTTCTGCATGCCTAAATATACATCTGTCTGGAAAAGTATACTGTTTTATGTATCCTGCCCTTCATCATGACTCATCACACTTGGAAAGCCTGTCTTTAAACTTGTATTTCTAGAGGCAGCCAATATGCCTGGCTTATTTAATAAAATTTTCCAATGCTGACATTAATCTCTGTAATGGGAAAATGCACATTTTGAGGATCAAGAGTTGTGATTTTGTTGAAACTACACTAATGAGAGATCAAACAGTAGTCTAGTCTATAGTCTAGTGCAGGGGTGTCAAACTGCTGGCCAACGGGCCGGACGCGTCATGCAGAAGCCGCGCCCACCCCATTGCCGGCAATGGCAAAACTCTCCTGATAAGTTGCGCGACGTCACATGACGTCACGAGTTTGACATGTCTGGTCTAGTGATTTATCCACAGAAAAGAGATAAAATTTGTCACACAAAACAACATTTAGCTGAATTTAAGTGGAAATCGGGCCTATCCATAGCTTCTGGTCACTGATTCTGGTTTCAGGATAGAACATAGTACTGTACTATATTAATTGACCGGAACAACAGCAAGAAAATACTACTGCACAAATGCCTTATTGGTGAGTTTCCAATGGATTTATGCTTTTGGTGAAACAATTATATAGCTCCTTCCAACCCTCATAAAAATCCCATACAGGTAGACCTTATTTACAACTTTTTATTTAGTGACTGTTCAAAGTTACAACGGCACTGCAAAAGTGACTTATGACCATTTTTCACACTTATTATTATTGCAGCATCTCCATGGTCATGTGATCAAAATTTGGCTGCTTGGTAACTGGTTCACATTTATGACTGTTGCAGTGTCCTGGGATCTTGTGATCACCTTTTGCGACCTTCTGGCAAGCAAAGACAATGGGGAAGCCAGATTCACTTAACAACCATGTTACTAACTTATTAGCTGCAGTGATTCATTTAACAACTGTGGCAAGCAAGTTCATAAAATGGGGCAAAATTCACTTAACAACTGTCTCGCTTAGCAACAGAAATTTTGGGCTCAATTATGGTTATAAGTCAAGGACTACCTGTTCACAACAACACAAATTTGGTTAATAAAACCACCATTTAAAATACATCTTTACTGGTAACTGTTTTTTTTTTAAAAAAACCTGATTAAAACTGTTAAACCCTGGTGAAAAAAATAGTGTTAACTTTTCTGTCCTCCCACCTACCAAAGTTCTTTAGAGGTTCAGATAAATTGTTTTGAGCTTCAATTTTCGTACTTACACTCTTACTTATTTGCATGAATTGCTTTGATTTGTATGCTGCAAAATCCACATACACTCACAATGGTTTACATACATCAACCATTCCAGAATATGCTACAATGCTTCACTTTTCCCATGATGATAAATCTCCAGTGACAAGTCTCCAGTGACAAGTCTAATGCAGAGGGAGGCCCTTTCCAGTAACCTGTTTCTAAACTAATCAGGGCTTTATAGGTAATAACCTTGGCATTGAATTGGCTTTGGAAATATTTATTTATTTAGTGTATGGCAGGCTTTGGAAATAAATATAAAGCCAGTGGGTATGAAATAGATGGGTAATAATAATCATCCCAAAAGTGGACACTAAAGCATTCTCGCTACTGCATTTTGTTCCAAGTTTATTTTTATTTCCCAGTTTGTTGATTGACCATCACTGCTTCTGCCTTGTCTAGATTAAATCTCAATTCTCATAGCCTCTGTTCAATTTATTCCTGCACGCATACTAGTGAATGGTCACTGTGGAAACTGAACTAGTAAACCTTTAATCTGATTCTGTAAAGTCTTTAGTTTGATAAAGCATGTTTGCTCACATCTGTAGTAATAAGCGATGCTTCCTGTGGATTGCAAAAAGCTTCAACAGTAGATTGTTATTGTTTTAAAGTGTTGTCCTGCAGAATAGGTGATAGCCTCAATAGGGGGCTGATTTTCTTTTTTCTTTCATTTGACTTAGTAAAACCTATTTATAAAAATATACAACATTCTTTTAGCTGTGGGTGTCCACTTGATGAAACAAGCTATGCTATACATGCACACACAATAAATATATTTTTGTGCCCTTGCTTTATCATTTATGACTAGAATGAATTTGGGGGAAAATTCAGAATGTGTGTGTTGAATAAGCATTGTATTTTTCACTTATTTAGCTGTCATTTACTCATTAGTTATAGTAACACATTTGATCGGACATAAAATTGACAACAAGGCACAACCTGAATTTATTATGCATTATCCCATGGTAGCAAGTAAACAGATCAGCATCAGTGAATGCCGAATTAGTTGACTTGCTTAAAGCTTTTATTGCAAATAGAAAAGGTATGTAATATTAAAAGTAGACTGATAAAATAACTCCTTATATCTCTTCAATTGATTTGAACCCTAGAGATAACAGATGTATGCCAAAGTTAGTTTGGCACAATCCAGTCCTAGAAGCATAATCTACATAGAGGTTCATCCTTGGCACTGATTTAGAGAATATATACATTTTCCCCTTAATCACTTTTTTGTTTTGAGAAAATATAAAGGTATCTCCCCCGACACTAGCATACATGCCAAGAAAACATCTGTTGATAAAGAGTGTACCTGAAGAGAGAAAGGAAATACCTCTGACCATGCCAGTGTAATTCTCTACATAAAATGGTTTTGCTTTTGATTAAGGGATTAAGATATTAACCCATAAATTATTGGTTAAATTATTGGTTTCTTCATTAAGTGAAGAAAAAAAATGCACATAGTATCTTCTTTTGCAATTCCACTGCTTTGCTGACTACACCACTGCTTGCATCAAAAAGACAGTATCACATTCCTGTTGTTATTCAGCAATATTAGCTTGATATACTGGAACTAGATACAATAGAAATCGTTGCTCCTGCAAACTTATTTCACACATGATGAGAACATTTAATGAAGCTAGAGTGCAACAGACTCTATACTTTAGTATTCACTTAGTTGGAGCCCACTGGAAATGATTATGGTGAAGCAAAACCTGTACTGTTATTCTGGTCACCTTTGAACAATAGTGTATTCATTCATTTTGTAGAACAGTGTGTAGAACAAATTCCTACTATTAGATTTTAACACTGGCCAATTGATATGTATCAGCTGGGTATTGTTCACTTCCCTTTTGTGCTTGATGCTTTAATCATTCTCTCTAATAAAAAGTTTCCCTTCTTGGATCAACATTTCAGTTTTTATGTGGCTGAAAAATAATGCAAAGATTTTAGCAGTATTGTTGTGATCTGTTAATATGCATGTTAAGCTCAGCTGATCCTGATTGGTTTGCAGGAATGTTTGTAAAAGCAATATGTATAAAGCCAAGTCTGCAAAAACTGAAACATTTTAGGACACAGGAAGCAATACAGTACCCTCATAACGTATAATCCAGAGTTTCTTATGTTTATGTACTAGCACTGTTACATGCTCTGGACACTAGATGACAAGTCAACATCCATACAAAAGTTTCACTTACTATTACACTTTACTGGATCCAGGAAAAAGTTAATCCGTTTAAAAATAGTTCTGTAAAATACATTGGTGCACCTTTTATTTTACTTTTTTTTTCTCTATATTGCAGTAGCATGGTACAAACATATAGAAATGCATACATTAGTAAAATGTATGTGCTTTTTTTGTAAAAAAAAAGGTGCTGGAACTCACACATGTCATACAATCCGCCTTGCCTACCCTACAAGGTTCCATCCAAAAAAGGTGCCGGAACTCCGTTCTGGGCGTTCTATGACAAAAAAAGCCATATATGTGTCTGTGTGTGTGTGTGTGTGTGTATGTATATAAAATTTATAATTACAATTATATACATTATAATTTATAAAATTATTTATAAATGTATATAAATTATATAGACAAACTTACATTTGCAAAACTGCAAAAATGGAAATTTGCATATAAAATATATTTGAGGAAATAATCGTGAAAATATAGATTTCTTCTGGACAGATTCTCAAATGAAAAGTTATGAAGGAATAGATGGCAATAAATTTAAAGTCTGAGAAGCAGTTGGGTTGAGAGAGAATGACTGACTCAAAGTCACCAATGAGTTCCATGATCAAGTGGCTCTCTTAGATTTAAATTTCCAACTATATATCTAACCTGAACCTTACCAATGTACTACGTAATCCAGTTTTTGCTGTTCTTTCCATAATTAGTTGGAGATTTTCAGAACAAAACTTCAGAAACTTTTTTCTAATAGCACATTGCATGTCTGTAAAAGTTACTTGAGTCTCAGCATTTTCCTAAAGGAGTTACTTTTTCATATGTATATTCTTCTGTAGCTTTTAGGGATATTCATTCATATATATATATATATATATATATATATATATATATATATATATATATATATATATATATATATATATATATATATATATATATATATATATATATATATATATATATATTTCAAAATTTGGATTGCTAACAAAGAATTAAGGGAGAACTGGAATAGCCATTTCGAACTTTTTAGTTCGAAATTCCTTTCTCCCATATTTGGGCCAACAGGATGCACCAAACTCAAGAGATAGATAGATATATATAATAAATAACAAAAGGTGAACACCAGGGAAATTTAAAATCATTAAAAGTTTTAATAAAACATTAAAAATTTTAAAATTTTAAAAGATTCTAAAAGAGACCTAGCTTTCGTTGGTGCCTACCAACATCATCAGGGCATAGATAATTCAATGGAAGAAAGCATTTATACACCAGCCAACGCCCGCACCCGACTCCTAGACCTTGATATATATATATCAAAA